CCAGGCGAGAAATACAAACATGTCAGGACAACCGAAGTCGAGATGAGCACAGAGCAAGACCAAGGCCCACCGACAGGAAACGGACAACACGGACCCCGCAGTCAGGATCGTCTGCGGATCGTCTGCGGAAAGCAACGGCAACTTTCTCATGCCGCCTGGCCAACGCTCAGACGAGCAAAACAAAACCCGTTGTGGATTGAGGGCCGTGCCTCGGCGGTTTTGGGCATGGGTCTTCAGACATGCATCAGTGACAGCACCAGCAGCGACGTCTCGATCAAGCCCCCGCATCTGTCCCAGAAAAGCAAAAGTCGAGAACCAAGACGTCGTCGTCGAACAGACAGTCTCTCCATCGCCCCGGCAGGTTCTGATAGCCTGGGGTCCCAAGGATGGCTCAATGCTTGAACGCTGGGCAGCGTTTGTAGCGGCGAAGGTCGCCAACCTCCCCCCCCTGCTCCCCGCGTCGAGAACGACGCCCTCGGCCCGCGTGATGAAGCCTGGTCGAGGTGCGGGCCCCCCAGAAGGGATCCTGAGCATTCCCATCCACGGGAAGGTGGGCGCACGTGGTTGTTGCCCTCGAGAACCTTGAGCCGTGACCACAGGCGAATTGTTGCAGACGTCAACTTCCATGCGCCAGCGTCCAATGCGACCCTGCAGGTGGAGCAGCGGGGTCATTTGCGCCCGAAGCCCTGGAACGCACTTGTGCACCTTGCACTGGATATTCTCGCCCATCCGCTTAATGTTGGGCGAGATATTGCCAGCGGCATCCTCGCTAATGAATATCATCGTCGCGTTCATCCGCCGGGGTGACTGTAGCCGACCCGGGCGGACCTCGTCATCGCACTCACCGTTGATAAGAAACCCGGAATCACGCAAGTCAGATCCATCGCCTTACCCTTGACCAAGACGCGACGCTCAGTGGCCTCCGGCAACAATCCCAAGTCCACAACTTAAGTGGAAATCCCAAGGCCACGGAGCTGAATTATCATGTAATGCCTTAGCGCGTGCCTACGTCTTGCTACTAATATCAGCGCAGCCTCCCGCCGAGCCACCCCACGGGTGACGCGGACTACTTGAAGCCGACATTGACGGGCGCAGTCGCGACATGAGCGACAAACAAAAACCGAGTTGTAGTCGGCTGCCCGAAGGGGAGAGACTTAAGATTTCGCGCCCTCTGCCAAACCAGAATCCCGACTTCGCGCCGCGCCGCTGCGCGAACCGTTGGCCCGACCCAGAGCCCGAGACATAACGCGTGGGTCTCGAATTCGATCGCGCGAAGCGACCCCCTGCCTCCTCGCGCGACTCGCGCGCTCAGAGACGCGCGCAAGGCGGCGCGCCGCGCGCTCGGCAAAATCTGGCGAGAGACCGATGTCAGAGGAGAGGTGGTCCAACGAGAGATGCGCGGGCACCGCGTGGGCAAACATTTCTGCAGCCCGAAGCAGCAGTCATCCGCGGCTTCAAATTCCAAGCCAATCCCAAGAGTGCGCAGATGACTGGCCCATCTCAGAACCTGGTCAAACGCCGGGGAAAAGAAAATCATCGACGACGGCCCCCCTGCCTGACTCCACGCATCACTGGGGGCCTACTCTCAGCAGACTCCGCGAAGTTAACCGCTGCAGTGTTATGCGCATGTAAAAAACACGTAGAACCCAGCGATGCTCTGCGGGGGGCCCATGGCCTTGAGAACCCGGGGAACCCATGCCGAGAGAATGGGCGGGAACGCCGCCCAGAAATCTGGGCGTGAGATAGCAGCTTTATCAAAGCCACGCATGGACTGAATCGGCTCCGCTTCTCCACCTCGACCACGTTGACCAAGGTGTCGCGGCCCTTGGCGCCCCCTCGCTGCTGCTCCATGACCGCCTGGCGCGCTACTTCATTCGGCCCGATGCAGCGAACATCAGAAAATAGCTTAGCGTCCGCGTGGGAAAAAGACGCGGGTCGGGTAGACCCAAGGTGCCTCGAGACAGACGTGCCTGGATCTGCGTGCTCTTCCCCCTTCGGTGAAATAACGCCATTCTGCTGATCCTGCGGCTCGCGGGAAGCGCAGCGCCTTCGCTATCGCAAAAAGCCCCGTGGACGGCGGGCAGCGCATCGGGGGCCTCCGGGCAACCAGGCGCCCGCGCGGCATGCCATCGGACCCAGGGGCGGAATGCCGCTTGAAACAAATGCGCATCTCAAGCTCGCCCTTCTCAAGGCGCAGGAGGGGTTCGCGAGGCAGTCGGTCGACCGACTGCACGTCGGGCTGGATGGCGGGCCAGTGCTGTTCATCGTGAGGGGCATGGGCAAAATCCCTTTTCCTGGCGGGGGGCCAGCGCGCGGGCCGCGTCGCCCGGGTTCGGGCCCGGTGAGCCCCGCCCATCCAGGGCGCCCCTCAGCCCGATCCGACGCCCTCTCTTTGGAGCCAACGGCCGTTTCTTCGCCTTGCTTTTGGCCTCCTCGGACCCCCTGCTCTGCTCCGCCCCCTCCGACTCTCCCTCGAACCATCTGTTCTTCAGAGGGGCGACGGGCGAGCGCTGGCCGGCGGGGTCCGCGCAGATGCCGCGGTCAGCGTCGAAGGAGGGGTGGGGGGGTGGCGTCGCGGCATCGGAGCGCGCGAAGGGCGAGGCGCCGCCGCTGTCCCCTTTTCCATCCTTGGCGCGCCGTGAGAGCGACGTGGAGGCGCTCGGCTGAAGACCGCCGAAATTCAGCAGCCACCGTCCCGAAAAGAGATCTCACCCTCCGGATGCGCCCCGAGGGGTCATCGGGGAGGGTCGTCTCCCGTCGCCGCTCCGATGCCGCCCTCCTGTGCACCGCGCACTGGCCAAGCCATTTCGGCGCCGAGAATGCCCCTCCAGGTCCGGGGCGGGCGATGGTCGGCAGCGACGGGGGCGCGGTCCTGAGGGGCCCCTCCTGTAGGTCAGGGCCCCTGCAGCGCGCTCCGAGACGGCCGACTCATTGGCGACGCCCGCTGGGGGCGCGGCGCGGGCTCCGTCGAGCCGCCAGAAACCGCGAACATCATTGCCGACCGCGCCCCTGCGCGCGGGGCCCGGTTGAAGGATTTCGCACCAGGAGCCGCAATGTTCGCGAAAAGCGGCGCGCTGCAACCGGCCCGCTGGGCCGGGCCCGCCCCCCGCAGGTGCGCCCCGTCTTCCATCGGGGCGAAATTCTAGTCACCGACCACAAGAACCAAACAGCGTGCTGCGGGGGGCAGTGCATCAATTGTCTTCTCCATATAAAGCTCGCGCGCGCTGGTGTGATCGCGCGCGTTATGCGTCAGGGCGTTCGCAACCTCGAGGCCACCTCCAAGTCCTGGGCGCCGAGGCTCGAGCGCCCCCCTGAATCGCCCCCGTGGGAACCGTGCGCGGGGGCAGTGGGACAAGAGACTCAAAGAGATATGTGACAACGCCTCCAGCTGCCCAGTCCTCCATGAAACTGCCATATCGTGCAAATGTGCATCTCGTCGGCTAACGTGGCCAAGTCTGCCCTGGGCCCATGCTTCTCCTGAAATCATTTTTATGATATCTCTCCGGCAACCCCTTTGCCAGCTGAGATCTTGAGCTCGCCATTAGAAAAGGGGGGAGCTGGGTGCAAAGAGAGCGCGATTGTTCCACGTGCGGAGCGTGGGCGGGGTAGAGGGGCGCTAGACTCCGCCGGCAACGTCAGCCGGCGGGGGGGAACATGGTGGCACGGTTTCAACTGAATAACAACTATCATTGCTCTCAAAAGATGGGGGCCCACTTGAACTCACCAGCGCAGAAGCCTCAAAACTACCCCCGTCCGGCCCCTTTCTCCAGGACAGCTGTTGTGCTCACCGAAGCGGGCGAAACTCCGACGAGCGGGCGCGGGCGCTCCCCCCTCCATCTCGGCTCAACCTGCCACGTCCACCATCGTGTTCACGCTGCCGACCGAGGGGCCGCTATCGACGCTGGAAATCTTCGTGACAGGAACTGGAATGGCACCCGTGGTCACATGGATCGTTCCCCCGAGCCCCGTGGAAGCGACGCGCTCTACCCGAAGGTCTGTGCCGCTGCCTGCCTCAAATTCCCTGACAGAGTAGAACAACTTGCGAAACGACTGTGGGGGGTCGCGGCGGGCGCGGGGCTCAAAGTCCATTCCGCCCTCACAATCAGGACAAGCAAACGGCCCCTTGGTCATGTACTTCGCATGGCGCGTAGAAGCCTTCAGAGTTCTCGCTGAATCGAGAAGCACCTTCGCACGACAATTGAAAGCCTTAGTCTGGACGCCGCGGATATCGCTGTCCAGCGCGCGCTTGTTCACGACGAGGGGAGACAGCCTGACGCAGAGTAGCTTCCAGAAGGGGGCGACATGATCACGGGGCCACCAGACGAGAAGGGGCGCCGACATCACCTAGTTCGATTCGACGCCGAACCTGCCGTCCTGCAACATGTGGCCCTGGATTCCCGAAATCTGCCGGTTAATCTCACTGGCTCCGCGGTCCAACTGCTGGGTGGGAGAATCGCACTGCATGAGGGTGGTTGGACCAGGTCTTGTAGGGCGGCCAGCATGCTCGAGTCCACAGCCGTCGTGCCTGGGGATGGCGGGCAGTCGGCGCGGCCCTCACCCTCATCCCTCTCCACAGGACTGGTGGGAATCCAAGTTTTCCTAATCCAATGGGTCGAATCTCGCATGGCCTCCATGGCAAGAGGTGGAAGGAAAGCGGGAGCAGGAGAGGCGTGGGAGCCGAGGGCCAGGGGGCGCGGCCGCGGCCAACCCTTGGTGCCCTGCCACCTGACGCCTCGAGAGAGGTTGGGAAGTTTAGGAGCAGGCCCGTTGAACAACAATCGCTACGGCGGAGGAAGATGAGGAAGAAAAGGAGGAAGAGGGGGAGGAGGATGAGGAGGAGGAAGAGGAGGAGGAGAACGAGGAGGAGGAGGAGGAGGAGGAGGAGGAGAAGGTAACAACAGGAGGCGGGCGAGTAGGAGGAAAGATGAGGAGGATGAGAGTCCAGCTGAAGACGGAGGGGGGGCAGTGCTCGAGGGCAGGGGCGGTCAAGAGCGAACGGGCCTGCTTGGCCATGTGGTACCAAGCTTCACGGTCTGGGCCTGCTGGCAGCAGGCGGGGGTGGCGGGGGCGGAGGGCGCAAAGAGCGGTCCTGGGCACCCAGGAGAGGGGAGGGCGGTGCCAGCTGCTGGCCCATGAGGCCGGCAGCCTGTCGCTGCGGGACGGCCTCGCCCTTGGCCGCGTCAACATTCAGACTTCGGGACTGAGGAGGGAGGATTAAAGGACTGGGAATCGAAAGACGGCAGCGTCGTAGCGCCAGGGCTGAGTTTTTGGATATTGACCAGCTGAGCCGACAAGCCAACGAACCATCATGTACACGAAACGCAACGATGAGCCTCCCCCTGCTCCCTTCCCTCTGCCTCGTCATCCTCCTTGTCGCCCTCCTCCCTCATTCCTCCTCCTTTCCTCCTCCTCCTCCTCCACTTCCACCTCCTGTTTCTCCCCTTCCCCTTCGCCATCATCACTCTGAACCTCATCCTCCTACTCGGAGTTCCACCAGCCTCTGGCCGTACGTGGTTCAGAAGGGCGTGCTCCACCCATCCCCTTCCCTGTCGGGGAAAGGCAACCGACCCCCTCCCCGTCTCCTGGGCCTGGAGGCCCCCCCCCTTCCGCCGAGGTGTCAGAAGGTCTGCTTTGCGCCCTACGCGGCTTCAAGATGGCACCAATTAGGCTCAAGATAGCTCAAGGTGTCCCTCAGCCTGCCTTCAAAGACACCCCGAGACGGCTTCAAGTGACCACGGAGCCTCCCAGGAATGCACCCCAGATGGCTCCAAGATCGCCCAAAAGTGGCCCAAGAGGAATCCATGACGGCTCGATCAGGGCCCTAAAGGGGCTCCATAACATGCTGCAATGTGGCACCAAACCCCTTACATCTCAAGTCATAAAACTTGCATGCAAGCGCTCTTTGAGGACTGGCACGGGCACCCGTAAGCGCAATTCTACTGGACGTAATCGTGGCTTGAATCCAAGGATATCAGTACTGCCAGTACGTGTACATCAGTGCTAATTTGGGGCAGTGTGGGTTCCCGAACGTGTTCATCTGATACGTTTCATGTGCATCAAATTGTAAGGGCTTGCGAGAACAGCCAGTCCAACAACCATGCTTTAACAAACTCCACGTGCACATGAAAACTGACCGATTCGCGCCGCACTCCACTGCACCCATGCTTCCCCTCATCATCAGATGTTCTCGCCCTGGCTGCCCAACCAATGGCTAGAAACAACACAAGCAGAGAACCACGAGCAACGACCTTGACGCCACACGTGCTGCGTGCGATCCCGTGCCGCTGTTGCCAGCTGTGTGCCCGCCGCGCCGTGCGAGGGCCGGCCGCCCCTTCCTCACTGCAAAGGGAGGCTTCGAATAGCTGCACTGCGAACGACACTCTGACCATCGCTCGGACGTCCATTCCCTGTGTTTTTTTCGGTATCGTGCGTGGTTTTTCGCCAGATGATCAAGGATGCTCCTCGATGGTCCTCGCCGAAGGAAAAATGCACACGTCCGAGCGATGCCAAGCCACTGTGACAAGACATATGAGCGACGAGCAAACACGGGTCTTACGCGAGATGGCACAGAAACCCTTCGCGGTGGCTTACGCGGCCGCCGGCGCCGGGCGCGCCACATTTGAAGAGAGGGCGCTCACGCGCGACCTTACGCGGGCACTTACGCGCCAATGTCGGCGCAAACGACCCCCCTTTGTCCGTGGCTCATATGGTGAGGCAGGCAAAGAGGAGTTGGCACTTGAATCAGCGTACACGGTGCATAAGGCGCACAGCCCGACCAGAAATACTTGCTGGGAGCAGCTTTTTGGAGCGTGGCCGCGCGTCGGCGGGACGCACCATACCAGGGGCAAGTCGAAGCCTGCGGCGCAGAGCAGTCGCACCGGCCCAAGGCGGGTCCACCATGCATTCTTACCGGAACATCTGCACAACTGAAGATGCAGAAGGCAGCAGCCCGACCACATCTGCACGTGCACATCTCGCGCACTTTCCCTCCGACGCGCCGGTCGCTCCCATCGACGGGCGCATGGCAGCAGGACGCGTGAACTACGAACGACACATACACACGCGCACACGCACACTCACACACGATACGCGCACGCCGCACTCAACGCGGACGACCCCCTCCATGCAAGGACTGGCGGGCCGCGGCGTCAGCGAAACCGCCCGTGCTAAACCTGTCGGCTTCCGCGGACCCCCCGCCGACTCCCAAGGCCACGGTGTTCTATCCTGGCTGTCCCTGAGGAGGACGCCCCTCTTCCTCCTCCTCCTCCTCCTCCTCCTCCTCCTCCTCCTCCTCTTCGTCCGCCTCTTTCCCTCCTCCTCCTCCTCCTCCTCCTCCTCCTCCTCCCCTTTTTCTCCTCCTCCTCCACCTCCCCCTCCTCCTTCTCCTCCCCCTGCTCCCTTGCCCAAGATGGTCAACACTGCACACTTCCTTACCGCAGTTCTGCTCGCTGCTGGCATCCCTCCCACGTCCCAGCCTTCCCTCACCCCGCGGGCGCGACGAAAGCGGGCTCCTGCAGCAGCATCTTCAGGCATGTGACGTCCATCATGAAGACAGAGCCGCGACAGAACATGCTAAATATACCACCCCACTGGACGAGCCTGAGGGACTTCAACTTGTGTGGCCCAGCGGGTGGCCGAGCTCCATGGCTGGGTCAGCGAGGAGCTCGCTCACTCGCCACTTCTTGCGGGCAGCGCCAGGGGGGGGAGTCAAGAGCGGGCCTCGGCCACGGGGAGGGCAGGGAGGGGGGTGGGGAGCAGCCTCCAAGAAGGCGAGCCTCGTAGGCGGATCACGGGCAGCCGAACGAACTGCCCAAACGAACCACATGCGGCCCCTCTCATGGGGCTTCCCACTGCCCCAGGAAGGAAATCGGAGGAAAAGGAGAAGCAAAAAGAACATGGGAAGGAGGAGGAGGAGGAGGAGGAGGAGGAGGAGGAGGAAGAGGAGGAGGAAGAGGAAGAAAACAAAACGCATCACATGGGACGCGCGTGTTCTCCCTGGCGGCGGCTAGCCGCGGCACCTCAGGAGGCGCCGTGTCGGTGCCGCCGTCGTCGTTGTCGTCGTCGTCGTCGTCGCCGTCGTCGTCGTCGGCGCCAATGTCGTCGGATTTGCCGAAAAACCTTGAAATTGATGAAGGGAATGCCTCCACGTCGTCGCCACCCAGGAGCGTGCGGACCGGATGCGCGCCTTGAGGTAACTGTGAAACTTCATCTCCAGAAGTGAGATCAGGCACGGCGGTGTCCGCGCCCGCAGGGCCGTCGCCTCTGCCGCAGGCCGGCGACATGGAGGATCAGCCGCCGCAGCTGTACCATCCAGCGGTCTGTCCGCGGCCTCTGTCACAAGCTCTGCAGACCTAGAGGCAATGTGTTCACCGTGAGGTGTTATTATTTCTGTCACAGGCGATTCGCCCGCATGATGTAGCGTCCGCGACACTGGCCCAGGTAGGCACTCACCACCAGCTGCAAGAATGATCACTTGGAAGCCGCAAGCGCGGAAAACTCATCGCACTCGCCGTCGTCAGGGGGGGCGTTGGCGGGGTAGGGATTTTGTCGGCCCAAGAGGCACTTCTTCGTATGCTTCATGTAAGAATGGTTCTTGAAGGTGCAGCTCATCATGTGGAGGGCCGACGCCCGCAGTCTCGTCATTGAGCTCCACCGCCGTGACCGAGAAAGCTCTTCGAGATGTCGGTGGTCGTAATTATATTCGTCATCTTCAGCCTCCGCCGCTGCCTGAATTTTCTTGGTACCGGTGTCCTCCAAGCCCGCTTGGCCGGGGAACAGAAACTCGGGAACAAAGGCTGAATCGCCGACCGCGGCAGTGCCCGCGCCAGGACCGAACGCGCGCTCGTACTCCGCGTCGTTCGGTCGTCCTCGCACTCGGCGGAAGCCTCCGTCACGCCGTTTGCCGGGGGGGCCGCGGCGCCAGCGCGCCGCCCGAGCTGGCCGCGGCAGGGTCCGATTCGTCGGCCGTGCCCGCGATGCCGACCTCGGACGGAGAGGGGGAGGACGGGTCCTTCTCGGCGAGATCGGGGGGGGGGGTCTCCAGGGGAGGCGCCCTTGGGAGCGCGCGCTCGTCGGGGTCGCTCCTGAAACGGTCGCCTCCTTGGCGCCGCGCGAGGCGAGCGAGCGGGGGCGGCGGAGGCGGCGGTCGGGGGGCCACCTCGGCGGGGAACTCAGCGCGCCCGATATCTGTCGTTGGCGTCGTTCTGCTCGGGTCGCGGCGCCAATCCCTGATCCTCGGTTCCTGTCTGGCCCGCGCCCGCGCGGCGCCGGTCCTCGCGAGAGGGCCGCGCGCGAGTGAGGTGCTGTCGGAAACGCCCTCGGTCGACAGCAGAGTCGCGCCGCCCAGCTTCGCAAAATCCCCGAGCAGCGCGACTGCGCCCGATGGCGCGTTCGACGCGGCTGCCCTGGAAGAGCTCGCCGAAAGACTCGCGAGGCAAGACGTCCGTGCCATAGGCGACGCGACGCGGGAGCCAGCCCCTCGAGTCGCTGCGCGCGCTGTCGGCGAAGTAAAGGGGGGGGCCAGCTGCGGGCCCAGTCCGCCGCTCTGCCTGCCAGTGCCCGCCTCGAACGCCATGCCGCGGCGCGCGGGCTGCGGGGGATCCCGTCGGCGTTCTCGCGGCGACCCGAAGCCGGGGGGCAGCTGGCCGTCCGCGAACGACTCGCGCACTAAGGGGGGCGCGCGATGAAAGCAATGAGAGCGACGCGATTGCAAAACAACGTTTCGCGGGGGCGGGGGGGGTGCACGGTTTCCCCCGGGGCCGTAGGCGACCCGAGGAGGAGGAGGAGGAGGAGGAGGAGGAGGAGGAGGAGGAGGAGGAGGAGGAGGAGAGAGGAGGAGGAGGAGGAGGAGAAGGTGGTGGTGGAGGAGGGGGAGGGGGAGGAGGTGGAGGAGGAGGAGGAGGAGGAGGAGGAGGAGGTGGAGGCGGGTAGAGCACGAATAGACCGCGCGCCCGCGGCGACGCGCGATGGGCGCTCGGCGGGCGGGGCCGCGGCGCAGGGCGGGCGCGGCGGGCCGCGGGGGCGACGGGGCGCCGTATCGCTGCCCGCGGTGGGGGGGGGCACCGCCTCCGCCCAGACGGCCTCTCCTGTCCGGCAGCGAGCGTTGGCCACGCGCAGAAGGGGGTAGGGGGAGGGGGGGAGGCTTCTTAGAAGCACCCCTGCTTCTTAGAAGGCGCGGGCCTTCTTTGTAGATGTAAGGCCGGCGCCTTCTAAGAAGCAGCCTCCTTCTAAGAAGCCTTCCCCCCTCCCCCTACCCCCCTCTGCGCACCGCCAATCTCCTGTCCAGTGGCGAGCGCGAGCGCGGGGCCCCGGCGGCGACGGGCGGCGCGCCGGGCAGAGTCGGGGCCGCCGCAGAGGGCGCGACGGAGGGCGGGGGCGAGAAGCTAAAAGACAACCGCCGCGGAAGACAGGCAGCGCCGGAGCGGCGCGCAGTGAGGTCGGCGTCGCGAGGGCCGCCGGTCATCCCCACTCCCGCGAAGATGTCGTCGCGGCGCCGCGCCTGAGCTGCCGCCCGCGTGGGGAGCTTGAACTTCGGCTTCGGGGAGGGTTCGGCCATCGCCCTCGTAGCTGCGGCGCCCTTGCAAGCATCGAGAAGCGGGCCCGGCGGGGCGCGGTTGGATTTGCGCTGGGAGTTCCGCGCAGTCGCGGCCAAGAGAACGACGTTGCCGCTGTCCGAACGCGCCGGAAAGATCGGCCACCTCCGCGGCGGGTCGGCCTCCAGATGGCGTCGGTCACCGCTGAATGACGCGGCGGGGCCCCTCCGCGCTCGCGCCGGTGAGCATGGCCGTCGGGGCCGTCCTTGCAGCCAGAAATGCAGGTCCGATGCCCCATTGCCGCGCCGAGGGGGCGCTGGAGAGGTAGGCCCCAGGGGGCTCCCGCAGGCAGCGTTGCGCCCGCGCAGGAGTCGGCGCGCGAAGCGGGCGTTGGAGGCGCCGCCGAGGGGCCGCCCGCCCTCTGCCATCGCGGCAAGGGATCTCTTAGTAAGCGTGAGCGCGACGAAGGACTGTGCGAGAACAGGGCGCTTCGACTGCATGGCCAGGTACATGACATCTGTTCATGATATTGGCGCAGGCGATGCGCTTGACTGGTGGATTTGCCGCCTCGCAGATCGGGGCGGCTCTAGCCGCGCGCTGCGCCGCGGTGATGTCGTCGGAGCGCGGCTGTGGTGACCGACCTGCGGCGGCCCCAGCCCGCGCCCCGGCGACGGAGCGCGCTCGTGGGAAGCCGCGCGAGAAGTGGCCACTGAGCCCCCGTGCCCCGAAGTCCCCACTGGTGATCAGCCGCGCGTGGCAGAGCGAGAACTCGGTGATGCTGCGTCGCCTAGGCGGATCGCGCGGGCGCCCCGCTTGTGCCAGAAGTCCTAGTTGATGAATCAAGAGGCAAATCCAGGGCGACGAAAAAGATGCCGGCCAACGCTCGAAGAGCTCTCTGGACAGAAGCCGCTCGGGGAGCACAAGGAACGGGGCCGCGTGCGTGAGCGTGACCAGGACGTGGGAGTCGCGAAGGTGCGCGTTGGCACTGAGCGAAACAGCGGAAGTAGCCGACGATTTGGAGCGGTCGGATATCTCCGCCCAAGGGCCAGCCCACGATGTGGCCTCGTCCGCGCCAGGTCCATTCCAGCAGCCAAGGCTAAGCGGCAACTGTGGGGCCGTCTGGAAAGTAGATAATTCAGGAACGTGGTCGTCCAGGAAGGCCTTGCGTCGCGCGCGGGCAAGTGGTCGAAGCGGCGGTGCAACTGAACAGTGCAGCGTTATATGGGCTCGAGGAGCAGCGCGGCGAGGTCCTCGACCTCTTTGCGAATCTTTTAGAGCTTTACGAGCGCGGTCCCGCGAAAAACGGCGTCGCCCAGGTCGTCGGCGCACGCGCGAAAAAACAGCAATCCTGGGTAGTTCGAATCAGTCGCGCAGGATGTGCGCGAGCGTTGGGGCCGCGCGCAGGGCGAAGAGGAGGCCCGCGAGGGCGCGGCCCTGGAGGGTGCCCCATCCACTGACTCCGAGAAGAAGACGACGCGCCCCATGAGAGACCGCCACGGCGGAGACGTGAACGCAGGGCCCCTGCGCGGCCGAGCTAAACGCACCAGGGAGCTGCGAATGCGGGGGGACCGCGGCGAGGTAGCGCCCGGCCGGGCGACGGGGGCGCCCGCCCCCGGAAACCGAGCGCCGCCGCGGGAGGCCGGCCCTCCGGTCCAGCGCGGAGGGCGGAAGACCAGCCGCTCCTGCCACGTCGTCGATCTCGACGATGTGCCCCGTGATCTTTCCTCTGGGCATGGGCCCTTCCTGAGCGGCTGGGGCGCGGGCCCCGACGGCGGACGCGCGGAAGCGTTGGCGGCCGCGCTGGTGATCTCGATGCCGGCGTTCCGCGGGCCGAGACCCCGACCGTCTTGAGGTTGGCGAGCGACGCCCCCGAGGTCTTCGGCATCATCGCGTTGGCCCCCCATCGGGGGGATCGCCTGCTTCGCGTCGCTCTCCTCGCGCAACAGGTACCACCCCGAGAGAAGCCAAGAGCATGCAGACTACATCGCTTCAGGTCCTTCAGGGAGGCGCAGTAGGGGATGCCGTCGATGCCAGGGGCACTGGGAGAAGGCGCTGGTCTCGCGGCTGCAAGCTGGATAGTGGCGAGGGTCGGCGGCGGGTGCATGCTCGGATCGCCAGGCTGCCAGTGCTTCGCAACGTGCTCGTTGGTGCGTTCCTGGTCAATCGGGGCATTCCCGGACACGGACGCCCAGTGGCGGACGTGGGCCGCGAACTTCCCGTCGTCGTCGACGTATCCGCGATCGGTTTTCAAAACCCCCCATAGTTGGACACTGACGATCTTTTCGGCGACCTTATTGACGGACTTGGGTTCCACCAGTCGTGGAATATTATTACTTCTCCGCGGCGCCCGCCGCGCAACGACGACAACTGCGACTATGATTACGATTGCGACCGCGACTACGGCTGCGATTGCGACTGCGAGTAGTTAGCAACCACGACCATTATTGCGACTACGACTACGACGACGACTTCGACGGTCACTACGACTTATGCCTCAGGAGCATTCTCGCGGAACACCTAGCTCAGAAACTCGATATTCAGAAACTTCAGCCTCACAAACTCCATCTTCAGAAGGATTGTTGACGCTCCTGCCCAAACGCTGGAGGAGAAATTTTCGCGATTTTTGATGCAATCCACGGCTGCGCTCAAACATAATACCGCGCGTGGTTGCCCATGTTGCATTACTACCTGGAATAAATAACCGACTAACAAAATAACGCCTGACGAGCATTAGAAGGAAACTCTTCCCCTGTCGCCGCGAGCGCCGCTCAAGCTTGCGTGCAGTGATTTATGGAGTTGGCCAAAGACATGTGAGCAGCAAAAGTTATGATCTGCATTCGAAGCAGCCGGCGCTTGACGAAGCACCACGGGCATTTGTACAATCCTCTTACGAAATCACTGAGACACTCTCCATGTGGCGTTATTCCCAATGGAGAAGAAAACACCAACAGGTTCTCGGCCGACGAATATTAAACGGGTAACTATTCAAATGCCGCTGCGAGGAGGAAAAGGGAACGGAGCAGAGGACGAGGAGGAGGAGAGGACAAGAGGGAAACAACAGGAGGACGAAGTCAAGGAGGACACGGATGAGAGGAGGAGCAGGCCGAGGAGGAGGAGGAGGACAAGGAGGAGGAGGAGCAGAAGGAGGAAGAAGAGGAGGAGGAGGAGGGGACGTTGAGGGAAGGAGGAAGAAGAAGTGGAGGAGGAGAAGGATGAGGAGGATGAGGGGGAGGAGGGAGAGGAGGAGGCGGAGGAGGAGGCAAAACGTGGCAAAATGGCACCGCACATGGGCGACGGCTTCTGCAGGAGCTCGTGCGTCGGCCGCGCCGCGACCCGCGCAGACCTCCGCAGACCTCCGCAGAGGCGGCATCCAGCTGGAAAAGGCCACCTGACCGCCAGCCGCGCCGCGGCCCGCGGCAGGCAAACAGGACAGCGTACCAAAACTCAGCCCTCGCACGGCTCCTCATTGAGCAGCTTGTCGAGGACTGCGCCCCCCCGCACCTCAAAGGGATGCCGCTCAGCCCCTTCCGCGCCGCGCTCCGGACCTTCAGCACGGCGCCTGCCGAAGCCCCAACCGGGAGGGCGCAACCCCAAATCTGTGCGAGGGCCTTCTCCTTCTTCTTGGCAGACTTTCGAATCTGCATGCGCTGCTGCATCTTGAAACCCTCCTCCGACGGCTCCTGTAGGTGCGTGACCTCGCGCCCGCCGTCGCCGTCGCCGACGAAAGCCTCGTACGAGTTCTGGGTCGCCACCGCGTACTCCAGAAGGGCCTCCATCTCCTCTTCGTCGCAGGTCTCGCGACTCAAAACTACGGCGCCTGCAGCACCTTGATCTTGAACGACCTGCCGCCTCCACGCCGCGAAGGCCTTGTCGACTAAGTACTCGTCCTTCTCCGAGTAGCCGCGCCCGCATGCGTCACCAGCGCCTTTGGCGCTCGTAGCAAGGACGAGCTCACCAGGCTCAGCGTAGGGTAGGAGCACACCAGGCTCCTCGCAGGTAGTGGTCACCTCCTCCTCCTCCACTTCTTCTGGCCATAGTCGTTCCACCCTTTTTTTGTCCCTCAGGATCGAGATGGAACGCGATTCCTCCGACTCCGAGCGCTCCTGCCTGGAGGCCCATGGCGCTGTCGGAAACCTGTCCTCCTTCTTCTTGTCCTTGGTGCCCAGGCCGCACTCGATCCCCATCAGGTCCCGACATATGGGCTCCGATCGTGCGCGATGGGCAAGGACTGGCCCGAGGACTTCTCCGAAACCTGCTCGCTCGGCCTGCAGCTCGTTCGTCGCCTTGGAGGCCTGCTTGGCCTTCAGGACTGCTGCGGCTACCGCCGCGGCTACCACGCGGGTCCTGGAGGCCCGCACCGTCGCCGAGTCCGCCAGCGTCTTCTCCTCTATCTCGCGGTCGACCTCGCGGAAGACCTTTGCCTCCAGAGGCCTCCGTGAAGCGCTGCCACCGCTTCAAGGCACATGCGGCTGTCACCTGCGACTGCTCGCGATGAACCTCGCTCCATCAGCCCGGTGGCGCCTCCAGGATCTGCTCCTCCTGCACCTTCGAGGGCAGGCCCACCACAGCGCCGCGTAAGGCCACCCTGGCCTGGATAGCGGCAGCCCTCTCCTCCGCCTCCAGCTTGACGGCCTTGAGATCCTTCGTCTTCCACTTCTGGATGTCCTTGCCCAGCTGGACCCGGTCGATGCGCAGGGACTCCCGCTTTCGGTCAGCATGCAGCTGCGCTCCCAGTGCTCCTTCATCACCTCGAAGGTCCCGACTGGCACCTGCACGTACTGCTGGCGCGTCTCCGGCACCGTGCACTCCACCACGCTCCGCTCCTCCAAGGCCTCCTGCGGCTTGGTCACCCAGTCGGCCATCTTGTCCGCTGGGTCGAACTGCGGCGCCATGAGTTCCATCGGGAAGAGCTTGGTCTGCTTGGCCTGGGGGGCCTCCGCTGATCCCGTACCGAATGTCTTCCTCGGAGTTGTCGCCGATGTAGAATGCCTCAGCGGCGTGCGCGGTAATCGTTGGTCCGCAATCGCAGACGCCGTCGACGACCTGGACCGCGATCTCACTCCCGTACCCCCTTTCGAAAAGCGCGAGCCTCGTGCCCAGCTCCAGCGACAGCGCGAGCACTGGCACCAGCGCCTTCATGCCATCGCTGCCCGCGGCTCGGGACGGCTGCGTCCCTGTCAAATACGCCGCCCTCAAGGGCCCCCCTCGGGCCCGACAGGGGCAGGAGGAGGAAGAGGAGGGGGAGGAGGAGGACGATTCACATTTGCGTGGATGCGAATGCTCCTCTTGAGAGGGGCTTTCAAAGGAGCATTCGCACCCTTCCCTCCTCCTCCTCCTCCTCCTCCTCCTCCTCCTCCTCCTCTTTTTCTTCCTCCTCCTCCTCCTCCTCAGGAGTGAGCCGAGAAGGAGCATGAGGAAGACGAGGAGGAAGAGCAGGAGGCAGAGGATGAGGATGAGGATGGGGATGAGGATGAGGATGAGGATGATGATGATGATGATGATGATGATGATGATGATGATGATGATGGATGATGATGAGGGAGGAGGAGGAGGAGGAGGGAGGAGGAGGAGGAGGAAGGGAGGAGAGGAGGAGGGAGGAAGGTGGGGAGGAGGGGAGGGAGGAGGAGGAGGAGGAGGAGGAGGAGGAGGAGGAGGAGGGAGGAGGAGGGAGGAGGAGGTGGGGAGGAGGAGGAGGGAGGAGGAGGAGGAGGAGGAGGAGGAGGAGGAGGAGGAGGAGGAGGAGGAGGAGAAAGAGAAAGAGCAGGAGCAGGAGCAGGAGCAGAAGGAGGATGAGGGGCGAGTTTACTTCTCGCCGAAGGAAACATGGGAAGGGCAATGACTAAAGAACTCCTGATGTTAGTGGGCGGCGCCGTCCGCGGCGGCTCGAAGGTGTAGGCGCTTGGCGAACGGGGCCCAGAGTTGAGCGTGACGCCCAGCAGCTGCCACTTGGTGAGCGTTTCCTTATTCGGCGTTTCGACATAGGGCGGAAAGGGGGGGGGGGTCTGGCTCCGGACCTTTGCTTCATGCTGCTGTTTGCAACAGTGCGTCCTGTGGGGGAGACTTCACCTGCTCGAAACGGGCGGCCAAAACAGCCAAGATCTACTTAATTGGGGGGGGAGTGGGGGGCGAGGGCCCGCGCCGATCGGCAAAACAATGAATCCGAAAACGACGACTTGTCCATGGATGCCGCGTGGGCGCTTGGCCGATCTGACCTCCTGGCGGAGCTCGACGAGGTGGGCGTCGGCTTAAGCGCCGCGGGCGTTCTCGCTTCGCGACCTCGGGCTGAGGGAGGGCCGCGCAGTCGTCTTGGATAGCGAGGCAGGATCGCAGCGTCGGCGATACGGCCGCGAGCTTGGTGGCCAGCTAGCGGGCGTTGCGCCGGACCGCCCTCGCGGCCTGAGGCGCGGCCAGGAGCTGACCGCGTCGTGAGCGATGTCTCTGGAGGGGAGCAGTCGCGTGGATTCCTCGGTGGCGCCCCGCCTTCGGGCGAGCAGTTCGGAACGAGGTTGCGCGGCGAGCGAGATGGCCCCCCAGCCCACGATCGTCGGCAAGCGCGCGGCGAAGATGCCGCGCAGGAAGATGCGCTGCGGGATGGGGAGATCGATCGAATCGCGGGGCGGGGGAGCACTGATGCCCCGGCGAACGGCCGCCTGGTCGGAGATGTCCAGGTCGGAGAGCCCTTCGGCAGAGCTGATGGTCTTCGCGTGGACGGCGACCTGGTTGGCGCGCCATCCAGCTGGGAGTAGATGTACATCGGCGGTCCCGCATCGCGTGAAATTCTGTATGCCGTACCATCTGGCGATGCCGTCCTGCGCTGCGAGCGGAATGTCGCAGCCGCTTGGCGGGCTGTGCTGGACGGAGCTGCGCGGCGCTAGCAAAGTTTATGTCGCCAGCCAGAACGAGAAGCTGGCGCTTGGGATCGGAGCGGGCCCGGCGCAGGTCGGCCGCGAACTGCTCCGCCACCCGCAGGGCTTGGTGCCGCGAGAGCCCGTGGTTGTGGACATTGTAGTGCCGTGGTTGAGCTCAGGGGGTGTCTACCGCCAGGCTGATGGCCCGTCCCGCCACCAGCGGGCTCGCCGAGGTATTCAGAAGGGCGGGGGCTGGGAAGGGAACGACCGTGGCAACGCCTCCGAAGGCGCGCCCAGGCTTGCCGCTGCAGAACGAACTGAACTGTTTAGAGGGCGGCTCCACGCGCTTGAGGATGTGCTTGGGCTGCGCCGAGCTCTGCTGAACCTCCTGGAGGCTGGCAATCGCGGCGCCGATGAACTGCTGGATGTTGCTGGCCTTCTCGCGCGCCTTGTGGCTGCGCCAGCGGAGGAGCGCTCGGGCATTCTTTGCATCTAATGATAGGTAGGTCCCAGAGTGGGGCCTCCTCAACGTAGACGTGGAGGGGAGCCCGATACAATAGCCAAAGCCGCCACTCGGGCTGCTCGTCAGGTGTAGTAGTGATAGCGTCGGTCTCGGATGAAAGAAGAGTGATCCCATCCACGAGCTTGAGGTCGGGCATGTCCTCCTCCCGGCGGATTTGGGGTGAAAGTTCTACAAACTAGTCTACAAAACCAAAGCAGTCAAACCTACGTTTAACAAATCATCCACCGAGTAGTTCTTAATACTATCTCTGAATGTTCCTCCTGTGGCGGGACATGCCCGACTGAACACGAGCAGCAACCACCACGTCGTGGAGCTCGAACCGCGACGGCCTCCGCCCCGCTTGCGGAGGTGATCTCGACGAGGGGTGCCCATGCCTCACGGCACCCAGCCGCGCCCGCGGTCGCGGTAGACCTGGCTGTCGGGGAAGTGGCTGCGCGCGGTCGGCAGCAGGCGCCCGCCGTAGACCTCGCGGCAGGTCTGCGACGGCTTCGTGCCGGGGGCCGATCTGCAGCTGCGCCTGGGAGCTCGTCTCGCTGGGGAAGCGGGAGGCGCGTCCAACCCTCATCAAACTTGAGGGAGAAGAGAGCCGGAACGACACGTCGCCCTGCCACGGCGGCCGCGGCAGTGAAGCGAATGGTGCAGATCTTGGCCTGGCCGTCACCAGCGAGCTTCCCGTTCGCAGCCAAGCTGGCACCGCGAACCCAGTGACCGATGGAGCCCAACACAACATCCATCTTGCATGCGAGCAAGCAGGTGACTTTGATGTTGGTGCCGTCGGGGGCACGCTTGAAGGAATTGTCCGAAACACGGGGCGTTGGCGGCTCCTTGTCTGCCAAAGCCATCTCACGACGTAGTTCTTGAAGTTGGTTGGCCAACTTCGCAAAGCGCTTGTCGTGGTCGTCGATGGAGGATCTGGCCACCGCGATCCTCTTGGTGATAGCGCCGATCTGGACCGGCATGCGTGTCTCAGTCGCGTCGAAATGCGGCGGTGGCGGAAGCCACAGCGCCTGGTCGTGTGCTTGCTAGACGGCGAGGGCGACCGCGTCCATGGCCTCCTGGATGGGGTCGATGGCGGACCGAACGGCTTATCCTACAGCGGCAGCAATGTGGGTTTGAGTTTCATCACGGTCTGGCCTGAACAGCTGGAGCACAACGTCATTGCAGAGGGTGCGGATGTGGGCGTCCAGCTGCTCTTCGTAGCCGTCGGCGTCCTCGTCGCCAGACGCACCTTTGCCAGGGCGAACAAGAGACGTGCCACGAGACTTCCTGCCCTTCTTCTTCGGCGGGGCAGCCTTGGGCTCAACGGCGCGCTTGACGTTCCTGTCAACCTTGTCGGACATGATGGGAGCTTGAAGAGAATGGCCTTAACTGGGTACAGCGCCAGGTCGCACACGATATGGAATGCTAGGAGCAGCCTGGCAACGCATTATGGAGTTCCAGGGGCGGACCTAGACTTGGAGCTGACTGACAAATCTTGTCGCGGACCAGCGTTATCCGTGGAACTCCCAGGGGGGGGAGAACGTCTTGAGCCAAAGTGGCTACGGAAGGAGGCGGAGGATGAGGAGGAGGGTGGGAGGGGCCGTGCCATGCCTTCCCGTCCTGCCCCCGTCCCCTTTCCTCCCTCCTCCCCTCCTGCCCTCCTCTCCTCTCTTCCCGCCGTCGTCGTCGACATCCCGATCCCACCTTCGAGTTATGGTGCTCCCATCGTGCTTAAGGACCACATCCCAGAAATAATTTCGAGCACCCAGAAAAAGTATCGAACCAGCGTCGAACGAGTGTCGCATGCCGGGGCCCGGCACGTGAAAACCCGGAAGTTCCGGCACCTTCCTGGTGCACGGAATTCTTTTTCGTGATCAAGGCTAAAGTAGGTTGGAACATCATAACCCTCGAGAAGAGACAGGTGTAGCTTAACTGTAGCTTAGCTGTAGCTTAACTGTAGCTTAGCTTTAGCTTAGCTTTAGCTGAGCTTTACTGTTACTACTAATGCTGCTTTCCCAGGGGCTCCAACTCCTAGGTAGGGTCGCACTGGGATAATTCGTGATCAAGGCTAAAGTAGGTTGGAACATCATAAACCCTCGAGAAGAGACAGGCGCCGTCGCGTGGTGACGGGCCCATAGCGCCCAGCGGGCCTGCGCAGGTCGTAGCGCTGCAGCTTGCTCTTCCCTGCCAGAGCGGCTGGCAGAGCAGACATCGAGCGAGTCAAAGGGAGGAACAGGAGGAGGGAGGAGGAGGAGGAGGAGGAGGAAGAGGAGGAGGAAGAGGAGGAGGAAGAGGAGGAGGAGGAGGAAGAGGAGGAGGAGGAGGAGGAAGAGGAGGAGGAGCAGGAGGAAGAGGAGGAGGAGAAGTTCCATCAGCCCTCTGGGTACTTGTGCTCGGGAGAGCTTCTCCTTCCAGCGTCATCCGTCCCCTTCCTGGAAGGGCTCACGGATCCGCACCCCCTCCCCAGCTCGACCGGCGGCCGACCAGGAACCATGCCGATCCCCCCCGCCATCTCCGTCAAGCCACGTGCAGAGTGCACTCTGCGGCGACACGTTGGACCGGGCACGGGGGGCTCGCGACCATTTTGCGCGGTGTTTCCGACAGGGGCGACGGGTGGAAGAGGCCATACTGTGTGTGTGTGTTGCGTGCGGCCCGCCCTTTCAAGAAAATGCAAGCGAAGGGGCCCCAGGACACACAAATACAAACACAGAAGTTCCAGGATTGCCTATATTTTCCAATATTTTCTGGGTTTTCGTCTTTCCCCCCACTTCCTATATTTTCCCATCTTTTCCTGGGAATCGTCGATTCATTGTGTCTGTGTGTTTTGTCTTCTGATGAACAATGTGCTGCCACTGATGTGTGCTAAACAGACTAAGTACATCCGCTGGGCAAGGCCGGGACGCTGCGGGAGCCAACCTCCCGAGGGCGAGCGCGGGCGAAAACCAGTGGCCCGGGAGACGAGGCGAACACTTCGGTCTTGCACGTTGCGATGTTTTTGCTGCGCGCCGCACCCGCGCAACCAGTGAGGGTGAACCCTCAGAGCATCTCCCAACGAACGCCCCAGCATCGCAGAGGCACGTATGCAGCATGTGGCAGCGTTGAACTAGCGCTTGGACGGTTCAAAGCTGGCTTGGCGGAGGCGAGGGACAAGGCCAGAGAGCGGGGACGCAGGACGGCACATAGCAACAAAGACAGTAAGTCGAGCATGCCGGGCATAGATCAGACAAAGGATGCAGGGCAGTGGGTGCCAGCATGCGCCTCAAATCGCAGACTTAACAATCATTTCGACACCAAGAAAACGTCGGCGGTGCAGCTACGTCGCAAGAGGAAACACCGCGCCAACGCCACAGTTAGCACCCCGTAGCAGCTATTTGAGCAACGTTTTGTAGTGTCTTGACATCGCGCAGACCAGTAGCATTCTGCAAACACTTGCAGGGCATGTTCCAATGGTCAAGGTGTTTTCAACAGGGCATAACCCGTGCGCGCGCCAATAACTCGCAGGCAACTGTTGCTGCCACAACGGGGCGTGGCGATGACGTCTCGGTGCGAGCAGACGGCACATACAAAGGCGGCGGCGCGAAAGCATTCCACATTCTGACAATGGAGAGAAACGTTCCTGCCGTCTGGTGTGGCATGCATCCCTGCGAGCTACCCCCCCTTCACACCCCATCTCTGGATTGCACCTCGCGCCTCGTACAGACACCAGACTAAGGCACGTTGCCATGTTGTAACACCAGGAGGCACTTGTCTACACCACGCTGGACGCAGCGATGCGCAACCAAGTATGTGTGAACTGTATGCAAGAGCAGGGTGGGGAGGCTTAACGCACACACGCACATTCCATATGAAGACTCATACTGGCAGTCACTGGGACTGAACGAAGCAAACGCATCTAACCGTCCTGCATGGCCCACGGCGTGGGTAGAAAAGTAATGCTGCCGCAACTCGGCGATGTGAATTTTGTGACTGGAGCAGTACTCTTTGAACGACTCCTTCGGTCGAGCAGTCACAGCTTACACATGCCCCTTCATCTCGTTCAACACCAGTGGCACCGTTGGAAGAGCCCCTGCGACCAAATTCAGCACTGGCCCTCTGGCCATCCTGTGCACGTTCGCATATCTGACTCTTTGCCGACTGCGCAGTTCACACATTGCAGAACACTTGCGACGCTCTTGTGACCAGAAAGCGTGGGCTGCCTCACAATTCGCCGTGGCATCTCAAGCCGAGGCGCCTCTCGCGATCAACGAGCGCTCTGGGCCGCGTGCGTCAATCTCACAGCGCGCCCTCGGGGCAGTCGCTGGCCGATCACGCACACGCGCGCCTCGGTGTGCTCTGAACACGTATTGCCCACACCCCTCGTGCCACCGCTTGTCAATGCTTCCTCTGGCATTCCTTCACCCTGCTTTCCGATCGCCGACTCCCTCGCTTCTGCGAATATGTGCACGGCTTCTTCTGCGAACGTCGCCCTTCCGCTGTCACCTCATCGTCCCGCTACTCCTGTTTCGGTTGCTGATGCTCCTCTTCCCCCTCTGAACGGTCCCTGGGTGCGGGCGTCTTCATGTGCCCGTTCATATCGTTAGCACCTCGGCGATCGAATAAGGAACACGGAGAGGCAGGGAGGGATGAATTCATGCCGCTGCAGCAGAAGTTGTCCCGACGGCACGGGGGAAGTGGGGTGTGAGGGAAGTGGTCGGGTCGGGCGGGTGGGACATTGAATGTGGTGCGTAGTCGAGATGACACGCGAGAGCCCTAACGGGTGGGTCGGGTCGGGCGGGCGGGCCCTACCGGGCGGGTCGGGTCGGGTCGGGCGGGCGGACCCTAACGGGCGGGACCATAAAGTGTGGTGCGTGATCCCACCAGCCCTCTGGGCGGAGGTGGTTCAGAGAGCCTGTGCTGTTCCACATCCTTCTTCCCCTTCGGGGAAGGGTTTACCCCTCCCCCTCCCCCTGGGCCTGAAGGGGAAGGGCGGCGGGTGGTTGGAGCGTCTGTTTTGGCTTAAGATGGCGCCAAGGCAGCCCAAAGCTCTAGATGACCTCCAAGATCGCTCAAGATAACCCTCGATGACTCAAGATAACTCCTAACAAGCCTACACGAGGCTCCAAGACCGCCCCAAATGGCCACGGAACCTCCCAAGGACGCCCCCGAGAGGCCAACATCCTTCAACAACCTAAGGAAAATCAATGTTTTTTTGCCTTGTCACCTTTTCGCTTTCAATGGGCTCTTGAGACTTCAAGATGGCCCCAAAACGGTCCAATAGAGCCCCAAGACAGGCTCCAGATAGGCCCAAGACGGGCCCAAGAGCGCCCATGAGCGCTCCAAGAGCGGCCCAGACGGGTCCCAAAAGGCGACCTTTCGGGTTCCGAAAGGGGGGGCGTAATTGACGCCGCGCTCGTTTTTGAGCCGTGGCCTCCAAGATGGTCCCAAGAGACCTCCCAGCCCATCCCCGCCGAAGAGCCCCAAGAGAGCCCCAAGACCACCCAAAAGAGCCCTAAGGGTGCCCCAAGAGGCACTACGAGGACAAGAAAAAGGTCCAGATACCTCCTGCTCCGCCTCGTCCTCCTCCCTCTGTCCCCACACGAACTTATAACAGAAGGTCGGTGGGAGGTGGGCGGAAGAGGAGGAGATGTGCGAGAGCAGGAGGAGACACGCCCGAAAGTCACGACCGTCGGTGTGCGTCGCAAGATGTGCTGTTTTGGGATGGGCTGGTGGGGATACGCGAAGCGTGAACAGTCGAGATGGCACGCGAAAAAAACACCAACGGGCGGGAAGGGTCGGGTCGAGCGGGCTCGATCAGCGGCGGCGGCGGCGACGAAGACCCCGCGGAGGACCACGGCGTGTGCCGGTGGCGACCGCCGCGACCGCCGCGATCGAGCTGCCCTCTGCTCCTTCTCATCCTCCTCCTCCTCCCTCCTCTCCCTCCTCCTCCTCCTACTCCTCCTCCCTCCTCCTCCATCCTCCTCCTCTTCCTCCTCCCCCCCCTCCTGGGGCTCCTCCACGACATCCGTACGTACTACCAGTTGCAAGACAGAGCTGGTCGAACTGCGGCGCGTCTCGCGCTGACGACCTCGCACAAGTAAGCAATCACCCCCCTCCCTCCTCCTCATCCTCCTTCCTCCTCCTCTCCTCCTCCTCCTCCTCCCACTCCTCCTCCTCCTCTCCTCCCTCCCTCCCTCCTCCTCTCCTCCTCTCCTCTTCCTCCTCCTCCTCCTCCTCCTCCTCCCTCCTCCTCCTCTCCTCCTCCTCCTCCTCCTCCTCCTCCTCCCCCCTCCTCCTCCTCCTCCTCCTCCCTCCTCCTCCTCCTCCTCCTCCTCCTCTCCTCCTCCTCCTCCTCCTCCTCCGTCCTCCTCCTTCTCCCTCCTCCTCCTCCTCCTCCCTCCTCCTCCTCCTCCTCCTCCTCCTCCCTCCTGGAAGTCATCGCCCGGTCTGTCACCGCTGGGCGAAGCAAGCCCCAGGCGAAGCGAGCCCAGCGAAGCGAGCCGGGCGAAGCGAGCCCCGGGCGAAGCGAGCCCCGGGCGAAGCGAGCCTGGGCGAAGCAAGCCCCGGGCGAAGCGAGACCCGGGCGAAGCGCCCACGCCCCCAGGGGGCCCCAAGACTGCCTCACAGGAGGCCAAGGGAATCGCACGACGGCCAAAACGAGTTCCATGAGGACTCCTCTACTAGTGAAGACAACGTTGGCCCATGTGACGGCCTTCCTCTTCCTCTTCCTTCTGCTCCTCCTCCTCCTCCTCCTCCTCCTCCTCCTCATCATCATCATCATCATCATCACCATCGTCATCATCATCATCATCATCATCATCATCATCATCATCATCATCATCATCATCATCATCATCATCTGCATCATCATCATCATCATCATCATCATCATCATCATTTTCATCATCATCATCACCATCATCATCATCATCATCATCATCAATATCCTCATCATCAGCATCAGCATCAGCATCATCATCATGGTATTTATCATCAGCCTCCTCAGTCTCATCTGCATCCTCCTCCTCCTCCTCATCCTCATCACCGCCGCCATGATCATCATCATCACCATCACCACCATCATCATCATCATCAGCATCAGCATCATCATAATCATCTTCATCTTCATCATCATCACCACCATCACCATCATCAGCAGCATCATCATCATCACCACCATCATCATCACCATCATCAGCATCAACATCAGCATCAGCAACATCACCATCATCATGCTCACGGCTCCCCCAAGACTAGGGGAACGAGGTGTCACACGTGACGGCCTCCAGTGACTCCTCGAACAGTGACCACCCAGAATGCTGGGCTGGCACGGTGGCGGGAATTCTTCAGACAGCTGGAACGTTAGAGGTGTATCTCTCTCTCTCTATACATATATGCGTGTGTACACAATCATATGCAGATGTGTAGATATACACACGAACGCATACATACACATAGTGCACACGCCAACGTGTGTGTGAGTGTATGTGCATCGCACATGTATGTATACATCGATACAGATAAATGAAAGGGAGAGAGAGATGGAGATACGGAGAAAGAGAGAGAGAGAGAGAGAGAAAAAGAGAGAGAGAGAGAGACACGAAGAGAGAGAGAGAGAGAGAGCGATATATATAGAGAGAGAGAGAGAAAGAGAAAGAGAGAGCGAGAGAGAGAGAGAGAGAGAGAGAGCGCGGGAAGTACCTGGAGAAAACAGGAGAGAGAGAGAGAGAGAGAGAGGAAGAGAGAGAGAAGCAACAACGAGAAAGAGAGAGAGAGAGAGAGAAAGACACAGAGCGAGAGATAGAGAGAGAGAGGTAGAGGCCACGAGAGAGGAGAGAGAGAGAGAGAGAGAGAGAACACATCAAGGCGGAAACAGGCCATCCGCATCCAAGACGCTGCAGGACTGCTCCAGGAGGCCCCCCCCGGACGATCCAGCACGGCGCACAACACGGCCGAGCGCGTGGCGGAACAGGCTCGCCTCGGCCCGTGCGCCCTGGGACCCCGCCGGGGCCAGCGTCCATGCTCTCGCGTCCCCTGACCTTCCAGGAGGGCTAAAACATAGCATGCGATTTAAAAACCTATCCCAGAGCTATTCCATGTCTTGGTTTTAGGCGGTTTCGTTTAGTTTTTTAAGGTTTTTAGGCCTCCCGTGCTAAAAAAATGGCTCTCTGGAAGGTCAGGGTCCCTCTGTCCTCTTCGGCTCGAGAGGAGTCCCTGTGGGCTCCCAGACTCGTTCGGCAGGACGCGGCGTGGCCCCGTGGCAGCACGGGAGGGCAGCGAGAGAGAGCTCCACGATGGGCAGGCCGCGGGAGCGTGGAGCGGCCACGAGCCCCGCTTCTCGTCGCCTCCCTCCTCCTCCTCCTCCTCCTCCTCCTCCTCCTCCTCCTCCTCCTCCTCCCTCCTCCTCCTCCTCCTCCTCCTCCTCCTCCTCCTCCTCCTCCTCCTCCTCCTCCTCCTCCTCCTCCCCCCTCCTCACCCCTCCGTCTCTTCTTTCTGGGTCCAAGACGGGCTCCAAGGATTCCCCGAAGCTCCCAAAACGATCCCAGGGTGGCAACGCCACCCAATCTCAGTCTTGCGGTACGGCCGAGTTCGGGGGGAAGACCCCTGCCCTGCTCCCAGCCGCAGCCCCCGCCAGGTCCCGTTGTTGCCCTCTAGGCCGCCATACCATTGACAGCGCCTTCGGCCATCTTCGCGGTCACCCAGATCCCGAACAACTCAACCTTCGGATCGGGGGAGTGGATGAGATCAGCCACTAAATTTGGAAACGTGGATGCGAAATGATTTCATGTGTGCAGGGCTTCAATCACAAAGCACGCGCGGGGAACCCTGACAATAGACGCCTCCCTTTGATACAACAATATCCAGACTAATCGCAGCCTCGCGACGACCCGCTACACTCTGCCCTCTCCCCTCCTCCTTCCCCTTCTTAGCCGCTTGGGCTCAAGCTCGCTTCGCAGGCGTCCCCTGGGTTCCGCCGCAGCGTGTCCGATGTCGGCGGCGATGGGAGCCCGCACCGCGGCGCTCGAGGTGGCGCGTGGCGCCCTCGCGGCGCACTCGGCGGCTGGGCTCACAACGGGCTGCCCTGAGTTGCGCGAGTCCCTCCGCATGATCAGGGCGGCCGAGGGCATGCTGCGGGCGGCGGTGGTCATGCTGGCCAGACCCTCCTCCTCCGCGCCTGCCGTGGCGCCCCAGGCGGCGGCGACCCCGTGGCCGCGGCGGCAAGACGGGCGAGGCGGCGGATGACAAGCATGGCGACGCCGTTGAAGGCATGGACTTGGAGACGGGGGCGGCTGGGGATGCGGATGTGGGGGCCGCTGCACCGCCCGCGCCGCTGCTGCAGGACGACGCCTGGGCCGACGAGCTGCCGCTGGTGCGGCGGGACGGCGGCCCGCCTTCCAGCACAGCCTCGGGCAGGGGCAAGGACGAGGGCACGGGCAAGGCCGGCGTCATGAACGACGTTTGCTGGCCATCGCTCGGACGTCCATTCCCTGTGCTTTTTTGTTCGGTATCGTGCGTGGCTTTTTCGCCAAATCATCAAGGATGCTCCTCGATGGTCCTCGCCGAAGGAAAAAGGCACACGTCCGAGCGATGCCAAGTTTGGGCGGATGTTATGCCTCTGCGGCCGCCCCCGCGCCGCCCGGGGCTGCCGGGGCGCTTCGGCGCTCCTCCGTCGTGAGTCGCCCGGAGCCTCGCTCGGCGGCGAGGCAGGGAGCGCCGTGGGGCTCGTTGGAACGGCCGAGGACGGCCGAGGACGTCTCGGCGGCGCCGCGGCGCGGCGCTGGGGCGGCAGCTGTCGGCGCGGCTGCGCCTCGAGATCGAGGTCGGCATCGGCATCGATAGGTCCGCCCTCGAGGTGTTCTGAGCTCGCGAGCTCGCGGGCCGCGCCCTTCCGATGCGGACGTCGCCCCCAGTGCCGCTTCGCTCTCTCTCTCTCTCTCTCTCTCTCTCTCCTTCCCCCCCTATTCTTACTCCTCCCTCCTGCTTCCCCTCCTCCCTCCTCCTCACCTTGCCTCTCTCCCCTCCCCCCCCCTCTGCCCCCGTCTTCCCGCCCTCCTTCCTCTCCCTCTTCCCTCTCCCTCCCCCCCCCTTGCCAGGAAGGCTTCCCGCCGCGCGCCGCACCTCGCAGGACGGGGCGGAGACGGCCACGGCTCAGCCGCCCTGCCACCCAGCACGCCGCCCTCCCGGATCCACTCCTCCAGCACGTGGGGCATGGCCCACCACGCTTGCTGCTTCTCGTCGCCCTCCTGCCCAGGGGAGGAAGTTGCTCCTCACGGCATTCCTATAGTCCTACCACGACATGTTCTTAGAACCCCAACATGTTCCAATAACAAAAACAGTGCTCTTAGAACATGAGCCCGATGTGGTACAACCAAGACGGACTCCGCCAGACACGTTCTGAGACCCTTTCGTGGAAGCCACAGGAAGGTTCTTAAAACATTGCTCGGTGGGCCTCTAGGCGAGCCGGGGCGCTTCGCCACTGCTTGACCCTTGCCGCTCCAGGGCATTCTCCCCTGCGAGCCGCCGCCCGGCTCGCAGAAGGGGGCCGCATCCCTGCTCGCCCCTGCTGCACCCCCGCGGGGGGCGCGCGAAGCCCGGCCAAGGCGCGCCTCCGCGGGCACGTTCCTCCCTGGCGGCCTGGGAGCACTGGAACTCTCGGGGCCTGGCCGCGCACGCCTCTTGGTCCCGAAGATTTGGCTCCTCCTGGCCACGCCGTCTGTGCCGCGTGTCCGGCGCTCGCGCGCGCGCGCGGCTCTGGAGGGGGGACGCCGCCGTCTCTCCGGACGGCGCCCCGCCGCGCGAGGGCGCCCCGCCGCAGTGGGGTGAGGCCCAGGGCGCCGCAGGCAGGAAGGCCTGTGAACTCCGGGGCCGCAAGAAGGACGCCCATCGTTGAAGCCTCAGTCTTGGTCCAAAGAGCTGCGCGGGCCGCCGGCGTGTACGGCGGGCGCGCAGGCGCACCGTCGTCCGATTCGTAGCAGCACCTCCTTGCTTAAAGAGGCCGCTGAAGCGAGCGTTCGGGGCGTCACGCCTCCTCCTCCTCCTCCTCCTCCTCCTCCTCCTCCTCCTCCTCCTCCACTTCCTCCTCCTCCTCCTCCTCCTCCTCCTGGGGATCGGGTCCTGGCTCCTGGGGTCCAGGGAAGACCCCGGGCCGTGAACGGCGGAAGGCCGCGAGGATTTTTCCCCAAACAGCTTGCTGAACGGGGTGCTGTTGTGATAGAAGCTAACTCCGGAGCAGACACGTCCTCAAAAAAATTTGGTGGTCCGGGCCGTTTCGCCTGAGACATCCTTGCAACTCTCGTTTCTGAGTTGTCTGGGATTGGGCGTTTCGCCTGAGACATCCTCCAATCTCTGAGTTCCCAAATGCCGCGCAAGAATTGGTCCGGCCTGTTTCGCCTTCTGTGCCCCGAGATGCCGCCCAAGAGGTGGTCCGGTTCGTTTCACTTGAGACATCCTCGCACTCTTGCGATGCCGCGCGAGAGGTGGTCCGGCCCGTTTCGTCTGAGACGTCCTCGAAACTCTGAGCTCTGAGATGCCGCGCGCGAGGTGGTCTGGCCCGTTTCGCCTGAGACGTCCTCGAAACTCTGAGCTCCGAGTTGCCGCGCAAGAGGTGGTCCAGCCCATTTTGCCTGAGACATCCTCGCAACTCTGACCTCGGAGATGCCGCGCGCGACGTGGTCCAGCCCGTTTCGCCTGAGACATCCTCGCAACTCTGAGCTCTGAGATGCCCTACGCGAGGTGGTCCGGCCCGTCTCGTCTGAGACATCCTCGCAACTCTGAGCTCTGAGATGCCGTGCGCCAGGTGGTCCGGCCCGTTTCGCACAAGACATTCTCGCAACTCTGAGCTCCCAGATGCCGCACAAGAGGTGGTCCAGGAGGCCGCAGGACGCCCAGGACAGGCCCCCGGGGCCCCCAGGAGATTCCCAGGAGGCTCCCAGGTGGCCCCAGGAGGTCCCCTATCAGAACGTGTCAAGTTAATACACATCCGGTGCCGATTCGTTGATTGTTCCTGCTCTTCTGGCCCCCCATTTGGGGGGGCCCAGACGGCCGCATGTTAGACATCCCCCCTCTGGGAGCCCCAAGAAGCTTCAGAACCCCCAGGTGGGGTCCAGGAGGCCGCAGGAGGCCCAGGAGGAAGCCCCAGGAGGTCCCAGGAGGCCCCAGAAGGCCCCCGCGACTCGAAGCTCTGAGACGCCGCGCTCGAGGTGGTCCGGCCCGTTTCGCCTGAGACTTCCTCGCGGCACGTTTCGCCCGAGACATCGTCGCAACTCTGGGGTCCGAGATGCCGCGCGCGAGGTGGTCCAGCCCGTTACGCTGGAGATATCCTCGCAACTCTGGGCTCCGAGATGCCCTTCGGGATGAAGAGGAGGTGGGGGAGGAGGAGGAGAAAGAGGAGGAGGAGAAGGAAGGGAGAAGGAAAAGGAGAATGATGTGGATGAGGGAACAGGCAGGAGGAGGGGGATGAGGAGGAGGAGGAGGAGGAGGAGGGAGAAGGAAGGGAGTTGCAGGAGAGGACCTAACGGGAAGCGAGTGCGACGTGGACTTGTCAGAGCGTGTGCGAGAGGTTGTCCGGCCCGTTTCGTTTGAGACATCCTTCCAATACGTTCCATCCAGGGCAACCGGGACGACAAGGGGAACCCATCACGACATGGCCTCCCTCGTTTCCGCGCCCTCCCCCGCTTCCTCTTGCAGTTGCTTCCGAGTTCACAGCATGGCGGTGGAGCCTCTGACAGTGCCGACCCGACAGCTTACTCGTCGACCAGGTGCGAGAGAGAGAGAGAGAGAGAGAGCACGACACCCTCCAGCGTTGGCTTCTTAGTAGGCATGCGTCACACAAATTGTCGTGTAAACATCTCATGTGCAAACATCATGCTATCATGTTCTAACATGCCATGCCAGCCCGCACTGGACGGGCACGCGATCGACCTCGGGCGCCGCAGGTGGGTTAACAAAAACCCTGTTTGGGGATACTGTACTCCGGCTACAATTTGTCCCTCAGGCCCTCCTCCATTCGTGGTGATCCCTCCTCCCTCCCTCCCAGCCTCGTCATTCCTCCCTGGAGGAGGCGGAGCGTAGCAGAGGGGGATCCGTCTCCCTACCCGCGACCCCTGGTGCGCAGGCAGCCTTCCTCAACCAGGTGGGGCTGCGCAGGGGGGAGCTGACAACTGCTGGGTATGATGCCCCCTGGCATCTCATTATCGACAAGCTGGAAGTGGCACATCTGGGCGCTATCGGGGTCAGAAAGGGAGGAAGAGGAAGGAGGTTCAGACGGCCCAAACCTCGAAGGAGGAGAAGACCCCCAAGCGTCTCCAGAGTGCTCAAGAGTCCGCGGGTTCAGGGGAACAGTCCCAGGAAGCACGCAAGCCCCACAACCAAGCACGGCGGATACCCAGGTCACCGCAGTCGAGTTCTGCGGGTTAGGCGGGGAAGAGGCCCCCCGGGATCATGGATGTTCGGGTGCGCAAACTGATCAGATGAAGGCGGTTCAGGCATCAGCTCACGGTTTTCCTCGCCTGTGTATGATGGGAGACGGTCGCGCTCTTCTCGAGCCAGCTTCGCCACTGCGAAGAGCGTCGGCCGACGAAGAAGCGTCCGCTGGCCACGGTGCAGAAGGGGTTGCGCGGCCAAAGCCAGGGCTTCAGCATACGTGGCAGTCCCAACCACGTTGTGCGACACCAGGCGGCAATGGTGGTACTGAGCAACCGCGAAGGCCAACGATCCACCG